CTGGTACCACCATTAGACCAGCCTAGCCACGTGCATGTAGATTGCGTATGCGCAGCTTGTACACCGTCGGCAAGTGATCCGGTCAGTTCGCCACTGTTTTCCGAGGACTCGACGGCGTGGTCAAGACTTGAGGAGCTTGACCCGCTGACGAGAGAGGATTTCGCTTGGATACCTCTACCCTCCACCGGAACATTGCCAAGGCCGCATTGCAACGCCTTCATGGCAAATCTACACTTCTACCTGCACACTACAGTACCAGCTCCGTTGACGGACGACGGAGTAGCGGTTGCCGATCTCCGCTCCTATCTTGCGAAGATCGACCGCGAGCACGCCACCCAAAGGTACGCCGAAACCGACGCACCTTTGCTCTATATCCACATTCAAATCGAAAAGGCAACCTGTAGTGCCTTGATTCATTCCGGAGCGTCTCGCAACTTTATGAGTCAAGCCTTTATGGCCCGCGCAGGTCCTGGCCCGCGCGTTCGAAGGAAGACGCAACCTACGCAAGTTACACTCGCGGACGGCCGCACGCAAAAGTCAATTGACCGATGCGTTGACGGCGTTCCGGTCTACTTTGCGCCACTTGCGTGCGAGCCAGTGTCTTTTGACATCCTCGATACCAAGTTCGACATGATTCTAGGCATGTCTTGGTTGCGTAGCGCCGATCATCCGGTGAACTTCCATGACCGAACCGTTCACAYCYGTGATYVGAACGGAGTGTTAGTCCCATGTACGGTCGCGACCCCTCACACTTCGATTGCTTGTCACGTGGTTTCCGTTGCGCGGATTCGCAACGCCATTGCTCGGAATGACGTCGAGGAGATGGGCCTTGTATTCCTACATGCTCTCCCCTCGTCGGACGGACCAGCCGCGTCACCGCCAGACCCACGCATTTCTCACCTCTTGGATGAGTATAGAGACGTCTTCGAGGCTCCCACCGGAACGGTTCCGGATCGGTCCATACGTCACGGAATCACTCTCGAGGCTGGCGCCGTCCCTCCTCGTGGATGTATCTACCGCATGAGCGAAGAGGAACTCGAAGTGCTTCGCGCACAACTCGATGACCTTCTCGACAAGGGCTGGATTCGCCCTAGTTGCTCGCCATACGGTGCACCTGTTCTCTTCGTCCGGAGGAAGAACAAAGATCTACGGTTATGCATCGACTATCAAAAACTTAACGCACAAACCGTAAAGAACGCCGGCCCTCTCCCTCGGATTGATGATCTCCTTGAGCGGTTAGGCGGCGCGATGTACTTCCCGAAGTTGGATTTGAAGTAAGGTTACCACCAGATTGAAATCCAGCCTCAAGACCGGTACAAAACTGCGTTCAAGACGCGGTACGGGCATTTTGAGTGGGTTGTCATGCCATTTGGACTCACCAATGCCCCCGCAACGTTTCAAGCAGCGATGACGACTGAGTTTCGCGACTTGCTCGATCGCAGCGTCGTCATCTACCTTGATGATATCTTGGTTTATAGTAGGACGTTGGACGAGCACATCGTACACCTTTGCGTTGTTTTCAATCGTTTGCGACTAGCCAAGTACAAAGCGAATCTCGACAAGTGCAAATTCGCCAGGCAAGAGCTTGAGTACTTGGGCCATTTTGTCACGCCAAAAGGCATTCGTCCCTTAGCGGACAAGATCC